GAATAATCAGATTGCACATTCTAAGTGACTATTATGACCCTTAATTTGTTTGGTGCTGCCTACAAGGTCGACTACTCTATGTCTGTTTCCCTTCCATTGAGTTAAACGATTCACCTTTTCTACCACGTTTGTTTAGACGATTCTAACTGTATATGGTTGTATTTTATATTTTATATTTTATATTTTATATGGTTATATTTGAAAACATTACCAGGTGCAAAGGTATGACTTATTTTCTTCTTGTTATACCTAATATTAAGATTAGAGCCTCATTTTAATTGTATTTTAAATTGCATAGAAATAACTTAAAAATAAAGTTGAGTTCTGGTCATGCGATTGCATTGTGAAAAATAGGTGTGGAATGGATCAGAAAAAGTTGATCATGTAGCAGATAAATATTGGTGTGTAATGCAAGGTTCTAGAGTCATCAAAATCATAATAAATTTGACCCAGTCTTGGTAAAGTAACATGCACTGCACACAGAAAGATGTATATGGGAATATACACTGTCGGGGCTACTAAAGTTGATTTCCTAATTTGTCTATGCTCATTACCCAGCCAGTATACATTTTCTACCAAAATCGTTAGCCAACTGACATTTATTTGTAATATTGAACATTCAGTGTAAGTTTTGTTTGATTCTGTGATAATTTTTTATATTTTTTTTTACCAGAACTCAAGTTTATCTTTAACCACTTTTTAAGTATACTTAATTTCAGGTTACCTTCTTTAAAGGAGATCAGGTCTTATCGAGGTAAGAACATCCTTCAAACGCAAATAGCTTTTTTTCTCAGCAAAAGAGCTCAATAAGTGCTCCCAAAATTAATTTTCCTATCCATTAAAGGCCCACTGCACTACGTGTAGCTACTTGCGCCCTCTATATAACAAACAATGCTTAATCGGTGACCATTGGTCCTCCATGATCCTCTTTTTCTTATGTTAACTGAGAGCTGAGTTGATGAGATAACCACATGTCCAGTGACCTTGTAGGGCGGTCTAATCCCTCCTGTAAACTATGGCAGATAAGCTTTAAGTCACGGATTAAAGTTTAGCGATGATTAAAACGTGGTATTTTAGGTTCACCATCTGGAAGACAAAATGACTTAATAAGTAATTGTCTGGGTAATTTACATGCGCACACACAACTCATCCACTTACCCCTTACGAACACTTCATTTGTATTCCTGTATGTGGACCACCTTTGAGGTTTACAGCAATGGTCCAAATACGAGAGATAAACGCTGAATGAATCCCCAAATGAAAAAAAAAAGAGAACTAAAAAGATACATATAAATAAAGAAGTAATGTGGAGAATGCTTTTATTGATTTATCATAGGCCCTAATTGAAATATTAACAACTTATATGGAATATCAGAGTTTCGGTTACAAACACAACCCTTGGAAATGGTAATAAATTCAATTTTTATTGTGGACAAGATTAAAATGAAAACACATTTACTTTGTTATTTTGAATATATCTTTTTTTATTATCGTGTCATTTCCTTTTGTTTAAAAAAAAACAGAGGAACCGTCAACACCTGCAATCTTCTCTGCTGAAGTCGAAAGGAATACCAGCCAGGAAATTGAACTAGAAGACCATTGCGTATCAATGTTTATTCCTCCAGAGGCTGTTCATCAGAGTGACCCGTGCAAGATCACCTTAACTCTCTTACGAGATCTTCCAAGTGTCGACATCCAAGATGATGAATCGGTGGCCTGCTACGGGATTAGATGTGACCCTCCAAACATGATCTTCAACCAACCTGTTAAGATCAGGATACCACACTCTACCCTGGCCATCAATCCTGATCAAGTGAAACCAGACATCATTTCCCATGTATGGGATTCCGTAAACGGTAAGTCTATTCAGGGACGTGATAGAGAAGGACCGGAATCAAGCCGCTCTCCTTTGACCCCATGCTCCAAGCCGCCGAAAAGTTATGCGCTAATCTGCAAATGTTGACCAGGAGGTGAGATAAAAGAGCGCATGAAATTTCAGGATTTAGAATTCCTACATCAGAACGTGGTATCACGACAACTGGTCGCTGTCCCTTGCAATGATTTCTCATCCATTGTTGAATGTGTAAAGAGTAGAACAAGCGAACACAAACTTGTGTAATGTCATCCCTTTATAACTTCAAAAATACAAAAAACACTCGAAAACACGCATTAGCAAACTTAATGTTATTGAAGATTGTAAATTATGGATTAAATAACGGGACATTTAAACATGCACACATTTACGCATTATTCTAAAATATTGAGTTTTTGTCATTTTTCTTTTACCAACTCTGGCACACAAATTATAGGAAGGACGGAGTACTTAATTTGAAAATTTGTTTAATGCACTATTCCTAATCATATCCCCATACAAAGTTATTGATTTACACTGAAATTTTGCCAGTAATTTAATATTTTGTAATTCATGTAAAACTGGTGCCTGGCTTCCGAAAGTCCCCGCAGTGGAAGCGCGGTTCGGAGCATGGAACTTCAAAGCCAGGTGGAATGTTACACATCCCATTGTTACGCTTTAGAACTCACGAATACGTTTGAATACATTACAAGAGTTTCGCCTCCTTTTTTTCACCTTCCTGGTCTATTTGATCAGATGCTGAAAGTAACCCGTTTTTAATGCTAGTGTAAACGAAAGTTGATGCCTGAGATCCCTTTTCAGCAAACCAGGCAGTGCTCTTTCGGCACAAGAGTGGGGCTAAGTGGTAGAGATTGGTCGCGTAACCGGGTGGTCTCCGGTTTGAATCCAAGTCGATGTGCTAGTGCCTTTTGGTAAGTCATTAAAGGTATAAATGCAAAGTTTTGGGAAATTTTGAAAATGGCCGGATAGCGATTCTTTAAAATTTTGAAATATTTGGATGCCCCTGAGGATGTATTAGAAGCACTAGAAATTTGGCCCCTAAAACACTTTGCCTTTGAGAAAAATTGAATATCAAATAGCGCCTATACGGTCATCCAATGGTAACTGACCATGACAATCTCAAAATATGCAGTTGTGGTATATAATTTTAGTCAAGAAACATGTTTTAAAGCTAAATTAATATCTTGAATTTGAGGGGGAGCTATACAACATAAAGAGTTTGTTATATAAAATGTCATCGCTTTAGACTCGATTTCAACCGCGTATACTTCCAATATGTCCATTTGAACCAAATTCATGACCCCATACCAAACTTTAGATTGCCTTTAATTACCAAGTGGACTGAAGGGGACTTAAACATGTATGTTTCCTTGTTGTTTTTACACAAGAATACTGATTCCCCAGCGATTGGGTAAATACAAAAAGCAAAATAAAACATTAACAAATAAATCATCAGTATACTATGCCCTGTTATGTTTTACATTTTTATTGCAGGTAATATAAAGCAAAATAGACTATATATGCTTTACTAAAACTTAACTCTTAAAGATAAAGTTGAGTTCTGGTCATGCGATTGCATTGTGAAAGAAACAGAGTGGAGTCGATCAAAAAAGGTTGATCATCTAGCATATAAGTATTGGTGTGTACTGCAAGGTTCTGGAATCAACAGAATTATAATATTTCGCCCAGTATTGGTAAAGTTACAAGCACTGTACAGAGAAAGATGTATATGGGAATACACGAGCATGTGGTATAAAAATCCGCCCCGATTGTTATGCTGTTACCATGGGTGTCGATCCTTACGTAAAACATATTGTTCAGGGGGGATGAATGAATAGATCACCCCCCTGAACAATAGGTATCAATTACAGATCGACACCCATGGGCCTATTACATATTGCTCCGGTTGTCTCATTTTCGCTCGCTCGAACATTGCCAGCACAACCACTGACCTCTACCTCCTGGACGGATCATCACCCATTCCCATTCACTATACGTTACGTACTAAAAGGCTGTATTGTCTGACCGTTCATGAATATTCATGTTTTTGCTTACCTCGGCAAAATGTTTGCTTTTACTAAATGGAAAAATGACGGTGGGGGTCGGATGAAATGGACATAATGAACCAAGCAGAAGTGATCTATGATAATTCATGCTTCTTATCCTTCGTGTGCTTGACCTTTAATCTTAAATTCGCTTGGCAAACTGAGTCCAAAGTTCGACTTGTTTCACATGTGTATTATAGGCAATGACGAGCTTGCAACCTATTTTGATCAAATTACGGTGGGTGAACTTTCAAAAGTCAATGAGACAAAAGGGTTCCAATGAAAGAGCTAGTGGTAACGTACGTCGGGGTGGATGTGCTTTTCGTTTAAACAAAAAATGAATTTTGAACGATTTATTGTTGTATAATTCCATAGGCTAACATGTTAGACTGCTGACTCTGACGATAGGGGGCGTTATGAAATGAGACTAAACGGAGCTATATGCATGCCATATTTAGAATATTAAGGCATTTGAAGAGCCATGATTTTCAGGGAACATTTTTAATATGATGTTCTTCGGGGTTAGAAGTTCAAGTTCTAGAACCTGGTATCGTCGTCATCACAGCGCCATAACGTCGTGAGAAACATGTTATAACTCCCATTTTTGTTGTTGAAATTTTCAATAAAGGGAAACGGGTGAAATGGGAGAGTTGGTGCTTGTTAGGACGGCTTATTAAACCTCAAACCACTAGAAGTATTGGTTCTCCAAAAGGACACCATCGCTGATAGAACTATTTTGTGATACTTTATAGAGGTGTAACAGTTTAAAGGACATATCGGCTCCATTGCAAAATAACACTTCTTAAAACATAGGCATTTTGTTTTGTTACCCACTGATAATAGATCTACCAAGAACATCAAGAATGAGATCATCTAGCTCACCAGACGATCCACCATACTGCAGAGTGTACAGGAGACATCTTGAGTTGTACATTGGTCACTGTGCTGAGTGGTGGGTTCTCATTCCTCTCGAACATCAGGTGATCCGACACAAACTTATGTGCACTCCATACATCCCAGATACGATAGAACAAGGGAAAGAGATAGAAGTGCATCTTCATGTCCATGCGAACCTTCCGGGGATGGACACGGTAAGCACAAAGCACCGACAGCAATTGTAGCAATGTTTAGCAATGTAGATTAGGTCAGACATTGAGTGGCACAGGTATTGTGGCGGGGGCACTGAGAATATGAGATGCAATTGTAGAAGAAAAACGAGGGAACTGGGTTATAGAGTAAGGCAAGTCTGGGTGTAGGAAGGATTAAGTCATCCTTTTGCTTTTCCACTCGCTATAAACTCTTCTTTTTTCCGTCCCTCTGACCCCTTTTTAAGAAACATGCTATTTTGTTTTGTATCCACACATTCAGGCATTTCATTTAAATACTTATACGCCCGTAATAACATGCCATATCTTTCTGCCGCCATTACGATTTCGCCTAGCTTTCAATTTATATGGTAAGATTCTGAATGCTCTGTCTCTCCAAACTTAGGTGTACTTTTATTTAATTTAGATATTACTTTATACAGGCGCGGTTTGGGATTGGGGGGGGGGGGGGCAAACATTCCAGGGGGCTCACATTCCAGGGGCAGTGACGTAATGAGAAAAAAAGTTCGGAAGGGGTGGGGGGCAGACGAAAAATCTGCATCATCACCAGTCTTACATGCAGGTCCCGCGGAACGTTTTTCAAAGTGGAGTATTATCGATCAGGTAAGGCGTAAATTGGCGTGGGGTCCAGGACATGAGCCTCGGCAGGGGGTCAAGCGGCTGACCCCCGGAAGCTCAGGGGTTTTAGGTATTTAACTACGGTCAGATGAGCATCCAGGGGCCGTCTTAGGGCCCTTGGTGTGGTCCAGGGGGCAGAGCCCCCGGAAGCTCAGGAGTTTTAGGTATTTAATTACGGTCAGATAAGCATCCAGGGGCCCGCCTTAGGGCCCTTGGTGGGGTCCAGGGGGCAGAGCCCCCGGAAGCCCAGGGGTTTTAGGTATTTAATTACGGTCAGATGAGCATCCAGGGGCCCGCCTTAGGGCCCTTGGTGGGGTTCAGGGTGCAGAGCCCCAGGAAACTCAGGGTTTTTAAGTATTTAATTACGGTCAGATGAGCATCCAGGGGCCCGCCTTAGAGCCCTTGTTGGGGTCCAGGGGGCAGAGCCCCTGGAAGCTCGGGGGTTTTAAGCATTTAATTACGGTCACATGAGCATTTTTATACCTTATTTGTGACATTGGCAGGTCACTTATTTTTTTCTCCGTCTTTCTTTCTTTTTCTCTTTATACATATGTGATTTAATTCAGGTTTTTATTATTGTTTGTTACGTTTTTGGGGATTAAAAATACAAACCATGTTTACTCCTTTACTTTTTTTTTTGGAGGGGGGGGGAATGCGTTTTGCCCCCCCCCCCCCCTCCTCCCCCACTTTTTTGACTGGGGGAAACTGCCCTCCCTGCCCCCCCCCCCCCCCCCCACTTCCGGCGCCTATGACTTTATACATGAAAATGATTTACTTTCTGACGTTTTTTCGAAGCACTTAATACTACTTCGTACTATTTTCGCACAGGAGGTTCAAGAGGAGGAGAAGAAGCAGTCTTACCACAAGGTTCATCCCTCAGTTCCGATCAGTATTGCAACAAAGTCTGATGATGTTCAGGTCACATGCTATCGCCAGTGTGAGATTGAGCAAAGGAAGGTAATTAAGTTGAAACTACATTTGTATGTTTCGTGTTGTCCGTCCGTCCTGCTTTATTGTTAACGCGGTATCTCAAGAACCACTTCAAATATGAATTTAAAATCTGATGATAGGATTTATCACGATAAAAAGACGATTGGAGTAGGTAGGTGCAAGGTCAATGTCATAGTGGCAAATTTATGATAATTACAGATGTAAGCTTCTTTATCGCGATATCTCAAGAAATATTAGAGGTACTGGCTTCAAACCTGGTGATAGGATGTATTACCATAGAAATACGATCTGATTAGATCTTGAGGGTAAGCAGGTCAAAGGTCAAAGGTTATATAAGTCAATTTATGAAAGTACACTTATTTACCTTATCGAAGCGATATTTAGCCTGGTGATAATGTGCATCACCCTAGGAAAACGCCACTTTAAGATTGTGGGGAAAGTAGGTCAAATAAGAAAGGTCATCGAGGTGGATGTCTGAGAATACAGGTTTTAGCCTCGTTATCGCAATATTTGAAGAACAAGTAGAGGTATGAGCTTCAAACCAGGTGAAAGTGTGTATCACCATAGGAAAACAATCTGATTAGAATTTAGAGGAAGTAGGTCATAGGTGAAACGTCAATGAATTCGTACATATTCACATCACTTATAGTAATTTATTACTGCAAAAATTGGAAAGATATGGTGTTCAGAATAATGAGTTTATATGGTTTACTAACTACATGTACTTGTCTGGTAGAAAACAAACTGTTTATCGTGAGGAGAAATTGCCTAATTTTAAGAGTCTGTCTATGGGAATACCCAAGGGCAGTGCACCGGGTCCTTGACTTTTTCTTGTGTTTAATAATGCTATAAGTGAATGTTTAAGATCATGTTCATGCAATATATATGCTGATGACGTTGTTATATATATTTCTGGTAAAAATATCGAAGTTATTAGGGCTACGCTGCAGTCTGATCTAGAGGAAACTCGGAAGTGGTATTAAAAAAAATAGACTAAAAGTTAATACTGAAAAAACTTACAGTATGTTATTGAAACGCAAATCACAAACTATTCATGATTTAAACACTTCTTTGGATGGCAATAAAATGACCCCCAAAAGAGATATTAGGTAGCTAGGAATTAAAATTGACGAAAACCCAACCTGGAATGTTTATGTAAAGAAGCTCAGTAAATCGTTAACTCAAAAAATATTTTCTTTAAAAAAGGTCAGTAATTTCACCAAAACGAATGTGTTGAAGAAAATGTATAAATATACAATCCAATCTATATTAGATTACACATGGTCGATATGGGGGAGTTTTTCTGTATATAAGAAGAATATTATCCTTAGATTACAACAAAAGAGCCGCAAGAATAGATAAAAAGGAATTCTGATTTTAATGAAAGTGGTCTTGATATTGTTAAAGATTGAAATGGCAAGTTTTAGAGGAAAGACGTAAGTATGTTCTTGTAATTTCAACCGGAGTGTTGGCTCAGTCAGTAGAGCGTCCGTACACTGCAAAAAATATGGGGTAAATTTGTTGTTGGTCAAATATCTTTACAACATAATTGGGCATAAGTTGACCAATAATTTGATGATATATTGTATTTGTTAACGTTTCCAACTGTTGGGGTTTTGAATACCGTGGTGTGGTAATTTTTCCTATTTAATTGGGCAAAGCACAAGTGCTTATCCAACTATTTAGCAAATCGTGTCTACAAGATATCGCCCGGCAATTTCTCTCCCCACCGCTGTTCAAAGCATCAACATATGATATCTGATATATTGCACTTTAAAATAATCAAAATCAAAAAAAATTTCAAGCCAACAAACACATAAAAAACATGCATTCTCCAAAACGATTTTTTTTTTTTTTGGGGGGGGGGGGCGGGCCCATCCGCCCCCCCCCCCCCCCCTGAATCCGCGCCTGAACAGCTAGAATTATTAAAGTCAACATTCATTTTCAGTAGACCTGTCTAATAAATGAAATATTACCTAAATCACATCGTCTTGCTTTCTTTCACAGAAAATGGGATAGACCTTGAAGCAGCTGCCCTCCTGTCAGATGAAATGATTGAAGTGCTGATCCCAAAGCTTGGGGCAAGATTAAAATTCAAGAATCACTGGAGTCAATATGTGAGTTCAGTTGCCTCTTAACTTTTCATATTCGCTAACATGATTTGCTTCAGATGCTTGTGTGACGTAGGAGGGGAGGTGGATGAGTTATTCAAACATTTGAAGTATATACATGGACTAACTTCTGGAAAGTCAGTGTTTGTGATATGTAGTCAAAATGGATGTCCTGAAACATTTACATACATTTCATCATATAAACGACATATTTTGTCAAAGCACTGCTCAGACTTGAAAGGATCTCAGTCAGTTGAAAATGAAACAGTTTATCAAGACATTTTTGAAGATGAGTCTGCAGATGATGCTGAAACATGCACTACAAATCAGAAAGAAACAGGGAACATGTTGGATACACTGAAAGAGACTTTCTTTCTCTTTCTTACTAGCTTGAAGGCATCTGCTGTGCCTCATACATACATAGACAAACTTGTAAGAGAGATTGAAGAACTGATGAATAATGTTCTGACCAATTTGTTTAAACAAGTCCTGAATGACTTGGAAACAGTGGATGTTGAAAGCTTGAACATTTGTTTCTTTCAAAAATACTTTCATAAAGTACAGAACATTTTCAGTCAATTTCGAACACGCTATATGCAGGACCAGTACCTTGTAGATAGAGATGTTCTGATACCCCCAGAAGAAAGAACCTTAGGGAAATCTTTTGCCACAAGAGATCATTCAGGACATGCACAACAGCAACTAGTGACAGAAACATTTCAGTATGTTCCAATTTGCAAGTTACTGAAAAAATACCTTGAACAGCCTGGTGTGATGAAAGCGATTCTAAGTCAGCATAATTCGCAGGATGGATGTATTTTGAAGACCTATCGCGATGGATTTCATTTTCAGACAAAGCATGTCAGTTGTGAAGATGTCCCCACAATCCCTTTACTCCTCTATGCTGATGACTATGAGACAGGAAACCCCTTGGGATCCAGGAAAGGCGAACATAAACTGGTTGCATTTTACATCAGTGTCTTAAGCTTACCAATAAAATATCAGGCTTCACTAAATAACATTCTGCTTGCTGCATGTGCCAAGGGGAAAGTTGTTAACAAATATGGTATAGACAGTGTTTTGTCAGCAATAGTGGACGATCTCCAGGTGCTTGAAAAGGAAGGTCTTGAAATTTCAAGCACTGACTTCAAAGGGATTGTAAAACCTGTTTTATTTCAGGTTATTGGTGACAATCTGGGTCTCCATGAATTGCTTGGGTTTGTGGGAAGTTTCAGTGCTAATTATCCTTGTCGCTTTTGTAAGGCCCCAAAAGAAATCATCCGTAGACAGCTCACCCCCGACTCGGCACTTCTACGGAGCAAAGAGACCTTTCATGAGGATCTTGCCCTTGATGATACATCAAGAACTGGAATGAAACGTTCATCAGAACTGAATAATCTAGAGCAATTTCATGTCAGTGAAAACTATGCACCAGATATTACTCACGACTTCTTGGAAGGAATCATGCCATTAGAAGTCAAACTGGTCTTGAATTCACTCATTGACAAAGGACAGGTTACACTTCAACAGGTGAATGACCGCATATCTTCCTTTAACTATGGGTTTGTAGACAAAAAAAAACAAACCAAGTCCTATCCCGCAATCGGCGCTGAAGAATCCTCGTGGAGCTAGCGGTCAAAAAGCTGCCCAGATGCGATGCCTGTGCCTTTATCTTCCCATCATGCTTGGAGATTTGATTGATGAGTCGTCAGATGAATGGGAAGTTCTACTATTGGCTGTAGATATTTACAAGATTGTAGTAGCCCCATACATCACCAGATCAGCTACTTTTTTCTTGAAGGCCCTCATTAAGGACCACCATCAACTGTTCCTTCAAGTGTTTGATGGATCTCTTATTCCAAAACATCATTTTGTTGTCCACTATCCTCAGTTGATTAGGTTACTTGGCCCACTTGAACAATACTCAACAATTAGGAAAGAAGCGAAACACAAACCTTTTAAGAGTTGGGCGCGTGCTTGCAATAACTACAAAAATGTGGCCAAGACTGTATCAAGGAGACATCAAGAACAACAAAGCTATGTGTTTCTCCAAGGAAAGACCCTTTCTTGTGAGATGGACATAAAGAATCAGTTTCCAGCCCAGATATCAACATTTGAAGAAGCACAACATATTTGTGCTACACTTGATTGTTCACAAGATGAATTCATCCATGTAGCAGATAAACTGACTGTTCACAGCTATGAGTTTAAGCTGGGGTGTTTGGTGTTGACAGAATGGGATGAAAACGGACCCGTGTGTGCTCAACTAAAGAATATCATCATACACAAGGCAGTTGCCCTGTTTGTCTTGCTTGTGTACGAAACAGAATACTACAACAGACATCTACAGGCATATATGCTGTGTCAGAATGTGTGGGTCGAATCAAAATCATGGAACCATTAGATCTTCTAGTGCCTCGTCCTTTGCATATGGTTCGATCACTTGATGTTAATGACAAGTTCAATTATATCATTACACCATTCCAAATTGTATAAATATGAACCCTAGGAATTTCCATTAATCACAGGTTCAAGAGCAGCAAGCACAGGACCTGGTGTCATTACCAGCTAATTTACAGCTACCAGTAACCCAAGTCATGTACGAGATGAACTTACCAACAGCATCACCATCATCATCGTCATCATCGTTATCCTTCACCAACTACTCAGCAGCTACTCAAAACCACCTAAATCTGGGGGATTATGCTATCTGCAGCACTGATGAGGCAATGTCAATCCCATCTACATCATCTTCACCATTGCTCTGTCAGTTGGAGTCAGAACCACCATCAGATTCCTGTCCATCGGAGCCAGATCCACCCGTTCCTGGCCCATCTACTTCAGCTAAGTCTGCTAAGCTAAGTCAAAGGTCATCAGCAGAAGGACCAAATACACCCCCACCACTTAAGAGACAGAAGGCTTGTTTGTTTGTGAGTAACAAAATCAAATAGGGGCATTGATCTTTCTGTCATTGAGACTAATTCCTTATGAAGAGAAGGAGATTTAGATCTAAAAAGCTGTACTTAGGAAAATAAGAAGAGAAATTAAATTTAATTCCATTTTTTTTCCTAGTAACTGCTGAATGAATGATTATTCAGATTTGAGACATATGTAAACAACTATAATGAATGTTTAATACGTTTTTATGCATCATGCATTAAGGGAACAAATTGTAATGTGTGTTAATATGTGGCCGGAATTAAGGCATGAAATTGCCACTGTTAAAAAACAAGTTTGTTATTCAAGTGCTGTAAAATAAATAAAAACTTGTAAACGTGAAAAGAGCAGAAGAGAGAGAGAAACATATACATATATACAAATAAATTGCAGGACTTCCTTGAAAAGCAGGCCTACTTGGGTCAGACGGGACTAGTCTGCTTACAAAAAAAACTTTAATGAATAAATAAATAAATAAATGAATAAATAAATAAATTATAACAACATTCACTGTGTGGGGATTCAAAAGTAACGATAGTAAGATATTTCAATTTGGCTACTTTTTTTCTTCTGTGTTAAGGATACTGAAATGATACTAAATCAGTCCCCCGATGGAGTAGCAACAATTGAAGAAATTAAGAGGCTTGGATTCGTGGCTAAAAGGACAAGGCATGTCCTCGTGTCAAGACTGGTTGAGTACCTGATCATGAGCTATGGAGAGCGGTAAGTATATGACTATATTTTGCATTTGTATAGTTGTAGGGTATTTCCCCTACTTTATCATACCGTAAATTTCTAAATAAATCAACCAGACTTATCAGTCAAACAATAAAATTCTGGATAAACATGCCTTACATCCACAAGATAGCTTTGGTAACAATTTTAAAACTTAAATTGTCTTGATCTTCAGAAAATGCAGCACATCATCAGAAAACACTAATAAAGGGACCAGCAATTGTTCTGAAAGACATATTTGCATCTAATGATGTCAAGTGACAAAATATCTCTGTGTACATTTCCTATGGAAGGGTATTTTAGGGGTACTCCAAACATTTTTATATTTTGGATATTTCTTGAAAATTAAAGCAGTACTAGTTAGGAGCAGACAATGAACAAGGCATTCATTGTTCATACAAAGTACAGATCAATAAAATAATGAATCAACAAAACAAAATTGTTCATCATACGTGTACCATATATGTGGCTGTAATTATTTGCAAGTGTGTTCTTACAGTAATCATCTTCATAGTGTAGCCCATATTTTTATTCGCTTTAATCATGTTAATTCTGATTTATTGGTGATTCAGTTCAGTGAAGAAAAAAAAATGTTTTATTTTATTTTCTCAAATATTTCACACTTCATAGAAATGGAAAGATGTCATACATGTAGATAGAGTCTTAAAAATAATGTAATGGTGTCTTTGTCTTTCTTTTAGGCCAGAGTCATTTGTGAAGGCAGCACTGGCCCAGAGCATAATAACTACATTTCCCAGCCTTAGGGACCCAGAAGGAAATACAGGTTTTGTAAGTGTTGATAGAAAGACCACTTTTATTTTCTTCAAGTTTCTACTCTACAGATATTTTCATGTGGGCTCTGTGAACAAATGCTCAAAATACCATTTGTGGTGCCTCTTGAAGCCATGTGTAGCGTACTAACAGAATCATACAGAAAAGTCTTTCTGATTTTGTCAAAATTGAACATTACTGAAGAATAATTTGTTATTATAATGGCATATCCCATGAAAGATTAAAATACAAATTCTGAATTAAATGCTAAAGGAAAGCTCCTATTCTGATAACTATACTTTTGTCATTATATCAGCAGATTTTTTTTTTCCAGACCCTGTATGGATATTTAAAAAAAAAATGTATGTTCATTGTTTTTATTCTGGGTGAACTATCCTGATGTTTACAAATAATAATTGAGCTTGGTTATCATGATTATTGACAAATTATTATCGTATTTGCCAAATCAGAATGAGGAATATGATTTTAGTACTATTGTATGCAAGCACTCCCTGTGGAGTGCAGAACTAATCCAGCTTCTAAAAAGCCAATCGCATTGATGGTCATATGGGAAGGGGAGGGGGGGGGGGGAGGGTTAGCCAATATTTTACAAAACATTATTTCTGCAACTAGGCTTTGAGACATATTTTTATACAGTTAATTATAAAACAAGGTGGCCCAAAAAGAATGAAACAACTTTGATAGTTGATTTCAAGGACATCATCAATAAAATGGAATTCAAGTTTGTTTCATTATGTGGAAAATAATTTTTCCAACAAAATGATACCATAATCATTCATTTTGGGTGGCTCGATCCTTTTACTTTTTTAGTGAGACAATGCTTTCTCTACCCTGTCGGTCTTTGGAACGCAGAGAAATTCTAACCTTGTCATGTAGTACTGCACGAAAATGCCCTTGCTTTGAAAACAGACGATTTGAACAAAATGTGACATTACACAACAGCTGAATCTAAGGGACACCATTGAGCAAAAAATTCTTGCCATAAGAAGTATTTTTAGGGTTAAAAAAGTAGCAAATATGGAAAGTGACATTGACTTGCTAAACTAGGATTAGTATTCAAATGCCTCCCCTCAATCAATGGTCTTTTTCATTTTATTGATGATGTCCTTTAAAGTCAATGATCAAAATTTGTTGCACTTTTTTAGGCCACCATGCATGTTTATGATAATTGGTATATGAATCCATTATGATATTTAAAACAGGAGGCCTTTTACACAAGAGGGGTGAGTGGACATCCTGCAACAGGGTATTTGGAAGAACACCTTCGCTATGTCCGCAAGAAAACTAAACAGTCAAAGGCCAGGAGTTCTTCATCAACTGGTAAGTTATGGATAATGTAGCAGATATCCCATAACTTTAAAAAGTGTATAAATATCTATATAGGGTTATTAATATATTATTAGTGCCAGTGGTAATGAGCATATTGTACAGTGTAGACCTGTCTTCCTCTAAGTAATGGTGTCAAGGCAGGGGAGGGGGGGGGGGGGGTCACCAGACAACGGCCAATAGGGCCATAAATTTACACAGCTCAGCAAAAACCGCGGTTTTCCTAAAAAAAACTTGAATTTAAAAGTCGCGGTTTTAACAAATATAAATGGGCCATATCAATTATCCATATTTGTCATTTATTTCTTTAATTTAATGTATAGTCACAGCTGCAGCTGCCTGCAGTCAACAAGAGTGTAGCCTGCCTACTGAGGAAGATGCACTGATGGTGTCCCTGATGAAGGACAACAAAGTCCCGGATGAACAAAAATCCAGATTCATGGCTGAAACATTCGACTTCAGAAGAAAGTGGATACAAAACCAAGAAAGATCTGTGAGGGAGATTTTGACACAATTCCCGTGTCTTCTGGAGGAGGGAATGGTAAAAGCACACAGGGAGAGCCTGACTTATACCGTAATTAAATGCCAAAATCCATGTACATTCCCTTTTCTATTAATATGTGTTCTTGGTTGTGAATGGGACTATATAATGATAATCATCTGAAGATATAAACAGTGCGTCCCAGAAAAAGCGGAACCCGGATGGTCAGTAAATTTTTGAGGTGAAAACAAACAATTCATGAAAAATAAAGTGCGTCATTTTAAAGTTCATTTTGTCTTCTTTCTTTTGACACTCAATACAATACGAAAGAGCAACGCATGGATGACCAAGACGAGTTTGAAATTTTAATGTAAAAATCAAATTGCGCAGATCAGAGCACAGAGAACCACACTAGATCCTTGCAGCAAGTGATTCGCGATCATCGAGAGATTTGATGAAAGAAACCTAACAAAGAACATAAAAGAAATGCTAATGAAGCATTCCTTTCTTCGGCAAGGCCATTGCATCTTGTCAACTTATTCTGCGCAATTTGATTTTAGCAATTAAATTTCAAATACTTTTTGCTCATCTATGTGTGGCTCTTTCATATTGTATTTGGTGTCAAAAGAAAGAAGAAAAACAGAACTTTAAAATGATGCACTTTATAATTCATGAATTGTTTGTTTTCACCTAGAAAAATGACTGACTGTCTAAGTTCCGCTTTTTGTGGGACGCACTGTATATACATGTATATCCATATGTACATACAGGAATGTTCTTTTTTTTTCTAGGGGCTGGGGTCTCTTGCCTGGAAAGTGTTTTGTTATTTTTGTTACCTGAACCTACAATGTACACTGTTTCCCCCTAGATATTGGGACTTCTAGAAAATGTAAGGGGGTGGTGGGGATCGATATCACTCTGTGCCCTTGTGTGCAAATGACTAAACGAATTTTGTTTCTTCGATTATTTTTATTTCAATAGATTGAGCAAGACTTCCAACTGCTGCATAGTGAGAGTGCAGAAAAATTGAAAGAGAAGTGGACTACGATGTCGGGCCACCTCATCGCGTATTGCAAGGAGATGTTCCCACTTTGGCCACAAGTTCTTAATCTCCCAGGCAACATGGACACACAGGCTCTCTCCTCGGGTACAATCATTATTTTGTTTTTGTTCTTGGATTAGGACCTGGGGGTGTTTCATGAAACTTGTCAGCACTGACAATTTGTCATTTATTAAAAAGTACAGTGACAATGTTTGGCTGTGAACCACTGGCACTGACTGTTGTCATGGTCATAGTCAGTGAATGACAAATTTGTCAGTACTGACATGTTTCATGAAACATGCCCCCAGGTTAATTGCTACTTTTTTTTATTTTTGAAATGCTTGTCAAGAAAGTATTGGAAAGGAAAGTTTAGAAGTGCATTACAGTAATAACAATAACATTATTTTGTTTTATGATCTACATTTCTGTACACTTGGACGATCTCTTCAAGTATAGATGTTAAGATAAAAGTTATTTGTGAAATATAATATATTTATACAAATTAAATATTGTATGTAATTGTTAGAACAGTTTTTAAAAGAAATATGGAATTTCTTCCTTCAGGTCTAAAGTGCCTGTAAAAATGCCCCAAATCTGATCCATCTAAATAACTGTAGTCATGCCCTACCCTTGCCCGAACTTTACTTCCCATACAAACCATACCTTATATCACTGCATATACAGTCTGACTCCAGCTTTATTTGGTAGTTTTGGGTACAATCACATAATTTTGTATTGATCTTCAGAAATTTAAGCACACCAGAAAATAAACCCACCTGCAATTGGTTTCAATGACATGTTTCATGTAATAATTTGAAGTGGGATAATATCTTTATGTACATTACCTATGGAGTGTATGGAGGACTCCAGACATTTGGATATTTGTGTTGTTTCTTAAAATAAAAGCAATTTAGATCAAACAATAAGCAAAGGCAGAATAGTTCATATATATAGATCAATACAATCATAAATTAACACACACAAAAAACAAAAAAAATCGCTCAAATTTCTGTCATATACCAAAATTTTATTGTGGCTTAAAAAAGGCAAAGCATTATTTTTTAAGTCGAGATACTCTACCCACTTTTTGATCATTGACCCTGCAGTGTGTGCACTGTAAAACAACAAGGTAGCAACAAAGTCAGCTGAGATTAAATTTGTACTGTAGCTTTGGGTTTTTAATGTACATGCATACATTGACCTTATTAGCTTTCACATGCATGTCACCTCAACACCAAAAGATCACCCTATCCTAAATTTTTCAAATTTCAATACTCTATTTTTGCAGAGGAAAAGTCAAACTTGGCCTTTTTCATGGTGCCTCTCCTGTTTGAGAAAAAAACACGCAAGGCTGGATCTAGTTCTACATCACACATCAGAAACCTGGAGTCTTTCATTGACACACAGCTTGTAAGTGCATGTAGTTTCTTTATTCTGTTAACTGTCCCATTATTGGGAAAGCTAGGTATCCAGATGCTGTCTACCCATATCCATCAGTTGCCTGTTTTTCAAAAATGTTATGTATAGCTTTACAGTCTGCTTTCCAATAAGTGAGTTTAGAGTTCAGATGTGCGCATGTATGAGGATAATTTGTGAAAAGTACACAAGGAAGTGTACAATTTACTAGCTGTTGATAAAAACATGCACTTTTGATCTTTAATAACTCAAAAACTATGCATCAGATAAAAGCAAGTGCTGAAAGGTGCTTATTTACAATGGTGAAAGTAATAACTCATGTCCAGTAGCATCTACTCCGTACCTTCCGTCCGCCGTTGACAGAAGGCCTCTACAGTTGGCACCAGGATGGTTTCAAGTGCCAAGTCATTCCACTTCTGAACAGTGCACAGAAAGAATGAATACTTATGTTGATCAGTCCTGGAGTAGGGAACCTGATAGCCGAGATCTCTAGTCAGTAATGTTGCTCTATTTGTGACTGCTGGACGTACTGTGATAGATCGAAATCCACAAGATGGTAGAACATCTTGTAGAAAAGAACGAGTCGTTTACATTCCATCCTGGACTGAAGTGAAGTGAAACCCATTCAAGCTGAGCTAGCATGTCCGTAACCCTAGAGGTGTTTTGGTAGCGGTTTATGGCTGTCAATTTGACACCTTAGAAGGCTAGCAAGGAATATCTTACTGGGAAAGGGACTATTGGATATATGATTGTAGACTTTTTCTTTTTGTGCTAGATTTACTTTACATTATGTTCTATTGGCTTTGCATCCAGGTTTCAGTCTGCCTCAAACGTAATATATGCAGTTGATTCATAGGCATTACAGAGTATTAAGAGCTTTTGCACCATTTTAGCACAGACACCCTCTGATATATGCTTAATTATTTACGCAGTACCAAAATTAGCCCGAGAACAATCAAATTAAAAATTTGATATGGAGAAAAAAACAAATTAATTGCTTAGGGTTAGTAAATTGGACAATTAATACGCAATATACCCATGGCATGCAGCCTCTGTTATATGAAACCTGGAAAATTAATTGCTTCCCCTTGGTTCATGCAGTTAGGGACATCAGGGTATTTGCTGACAGTCCTTCAAACCAGGGATAAATCAAGGAATGTTGTGTTTATCCATGCAGTGCATGGTCAGACTTTCATGCTTTCCATATCAAACAGTGAACCCTCTGGTGAAGGGAGGCCATGAATGCATCATTAAGATACAAAAATATGATACATGCATGTAAATTAAAAAATTCAGCAAGCAAGAAACTTTGTAAACTTTCATCAGGGAATTTTGTTCCCATTAAATGCTAATTGGCATTCTGATAAAGTGTGTCTGCTATATTCCCTACTATATAATAAGTCTTTTTTTTTTCCTTCTTCTTCTTCAGGAAACCACTCACATGCCATCATACCTGCAACAGATTGACCCAACTACCCGTCCCCAACCCTTCATCATTGAACTGTTCTCGTCATCCAAGCTCAGGCCTCAGCAGACTTTCACAGTGATTGAAAAGGAGTGCATCCCTCACAAGTCACTTATAGATGCAGTAGATGTGTGCTACAAAGCACACTTCATCATAGACTGTGCTTATCAAAGCAACGTAGAAGGAACCTGGCTCTTCTTCCAAAAGATGATCTATGAACAAAATGACAAGCGTATCAGAGACACCCCTGCCTTGAGTAGTTTCCGTGCTTATCTCTTCTCAAAGAAAACATGAATATGAGTCAGTTTTGTACAGAAGATGTGTGGTGTAACATACCAGACTTGTCCTGTCCAATGATGCACTTGTAATGATGTATAAAGTAAACAGTAACCTTATATTCACTGCATGTTTCTATTATGCAGATGAATTCTTTTAATTAGAGGTTAAGTTTTCCTTTCAGTTTGAAACCTTGTTGGGAAATTTGATAAACTGAAACAGATTTATGTCAATTACTCAGTGGATATTATCAAAAACTTGCCTTTTTCCTCCACCCATTACAATTACTGTATTAAAAGCTTTAAAAACTTCTAAGAGACACATACTGAACCAGTTCTAAATAGTCCAACTTCAGCTTCTTCTTTCATCATTGTATATGGTAAGAATGATATTTTAGTTATTCTGTCCACATGCACTCATTTAAAAATCATGGCCCAATTCACAAAGGTGGAATAACTTAAACTATGGAATAAGGGTGGAATAAATTATGGGGCGCCAAGTGGACCCTATATGCTTTTATTACAGAATGACCCACAATTTTACTTTAAACAAAATCACTAGAGGGGGTTGATTATGTCACAAAATCACTCAGAGATTGATTTGTTTCAAAATCAATTCTCACTGGTGAATTTGTTACAAAATTGCGAGTGATATTGTAACAAAATTATTGATTTTGTACCAAAAGCATATAGGGTACACTTGGTGCCCCATAGTTATTCGACCCTTATTCCATGGTTTAAAGTTATTCTGCCTTTGTGAATTCGGACCCTTGTGTTTAATGCTTGTCGAAAGTAAAATTCTTTATGCTCTTTTCCCGAAGGGTGCTGGAGGCCCGTTTTAGGATTTTTTCATTGGGCAGCTAATAGATTCCCCCCCCCCCCACAGGTTTTGTGTCTATAATCGGCTAAAACGTCGGTGGGCTGATAAAACCTTGTAACTAAATTTTTGGGGAAAATTACTTGTTTATAGAACCTTGTGGCAAGAAAACCAGATTTAGTTCTGTCAAAATTTTACATTTCAATCTGAAAAGATAGAGAAACTGTGACATGGTAAAAAGAAGGCTAGTGTTAAGACAGCCATCTCTTTTGGCTCTCCTGAACATTTAACATTTTTGAGATACAAGGTTTTATCAGCCCACCGACAGTATGTGCACTTCAAAGACTTTATATCCAGAAGTCCTGATTTGTAAGTGCGCTAATTTGCTAGGTTTAAAAGTCATTGATATTCAAATACGAAATACAATCTTCCTTTTTAAACTGAAATTGAAAGGAAAGGTTTGTGTAATATATGTGTCAGAGGTCAGAGGGCACCATAATCGAGCAAAATTGTAACTCATTGCATTAAAAGAAAAGAATAACTGAGATTTTCATGTCTTATTTAAATGTTTTACAACCTACAACTTCTAGTGTTCACAAACATGTATATGTCATTATAATAGTATATTCTTCATTCATGCAAAATATCAGAAATGTTGGAACTGGTTGCTAATGAGATCTACTAAACTTGAAACAATTGTTTGGAATTAATTTAGTTCTATAACTCTGTTCAATTCTTCTGTTATAACAACTTCTTTATATAGGGTTAATATTTCGGCCCCCCAAAATCTGCCTGTACTCTAGTGGGACTTATTAACAGAACGATTAATTAAAGATAGTTATATGAGACCAAGTTAAGTCCAGAAATTGTACACATCTCTGCTTCACTCTTACAAAAGTATTATCTTGCACTCTGGTGGTAACTTCAATTAAAGATGAACAGTAGCAACAGTTTGTTTTTTTTTTAATTTTTTTTTTTAACAGGTACTAAATATGAGACGTATGCCATGAACATGAGTGATAGATTTTATGCAAGTTATTTCAGGAGACAGTGTTATATTTGCTTTAAATGGTAGAAAGAAGTGAAATGTTGAACGTTATATGTATTCTTAAAAGTTGCGTAACTTTTGCAAGCTCATTGTATGTAAAAGGCACACAAGTCAAAATGATTGTTGCATTGTTATTGTTTGTTTGTTGTTTCATTTGCATTGCTATATACCATATCAGACATGAGTGTGTATTAGCTTGATAATGCTACTATGGGCTGGACCACTTTTTCCATTGCCAAGGCTTGCATTGGTTCCCTATTCTCTGTTATGGACCACATTTTTTTCAAATAGTTGAGTTATAATGCAAACTTAAAGTTTCTTTTATTTATGAGGTGTGTCAGAAAAGTTCCAGAACTGATGTTACAAAATTAATATTTCATAATTTGTGTAATGCAAATTTCATATTATGAGTTATCCCCTCCAAAGCATATAGGTACATTCCTCTATCTTTTTTTTCACAAAATTTGAATCATGTTTCCTGATGAGAGATACAGTTTGTAATTTAGTCACATTCATTTTGGCAAAGAAGCATTTTTTTTTTAAGAAACAAAAATCACAAATTTATATAGTGAGTTTGATTTTGCTATATAATGATCATGCATGAGACCAATGCTAAACAGCATATTTTTATTATGTTGTATTTACTATTTTATGAAAATCATTGTCAAAGTATTCCTTTTCATGAGAAGTGTTGCAAACTATTTTTTTACATACTGAGGTTTAATAAAGACTTCAAAGTATTCCTAAGAAAGATATGTGTGATGTTTTATATTATTCCATGCATTCACTTGCAATGCTGAAGCGTGTTGGGATAATGTTGGGCAAGTTTTCCCCATTTGATAGGCAAAGCATAATGCTCAACAATTAATCCATTTTCAACCCACCCAACGAATGAGCAAATAATTATACCCAACAATTGACACATTAACTTGCCCAACTGTTGAGCAAAAAGCAACTTTTGTTGGGCAAAAGTGTTGCCCAATTTCAATGAAACCTTTATTACCCAACAGTTGGGTGGGTTGACTATTAGACCAATGCTTGGGCAAATTTTTGCCCAATATTTTTAGCAGTGTATGGCAAGCCGTTTTAATATTTATTCATATTTCTCGATATCAAGAATTCTATTCTTGATATCAAAAAATGCATTCCTGATATCAAGAAATCGAATTCTTGATATCAAGAATTTAATTCTTGATATCAAGAATTCGAATACTTGATATCAAGAATTCACTTCTTGATATCAAGAAATCTATTTCTTGATATCTAAACTTCATTTCTTGATATCAAGAATTCGAATTCATGATATCAAAAAATGAATTCGTGATATCAAGAAATGAATTCTTGATATCAAGAATTGTTATAGTGATTGATTTCGAACGCAAAAGTATAGCACGAAATCATACTGAGCGCGCCGTTTTAACATTTATTCCGAACGCATGAGTTGTGCAGGAATTCATCCTGCCTGACCGGTGCATGCAGTGTGGGTTTTTGAAAGTCAATGTATCGCGAGAATTCAACTAATGCAAGAATACATGTTGCCAGTTTGCAGTGCATTTACCGTCTCTGTGATATATATTATGTAACAAAATCACCCCCCGTTTGTTCATGGAACAGCCCAGGGTCCAGTGGGTGTGTTTGTTTAGGGTTATCTACATAAACTCGCCTTGTAGAGCATTTCAAGGGATGCATGCCACATCCTAACTTACAGTGCTGACCGAAATACACAGAAGTGCATTGAATGTCTATGTGAATGTCCTTGTAGAAAATATTTGGTTGGTACTGTTTAGCCATGTTTTTTAAAGCAATTTATTATAAATACATAATGCCAACAAAACTTTTTGTTTATATTAGCATAGATATATTAGATCTAGTTCGATTACTTGTAATACATTGTAATAAATACGCGTCCGTAATTTTTTGTTTAAACGGCAACATAATTATCAAGAAATCATTTCGTGATATGTTGCCGTCTTACGTTTTTGAAAGATGCGTTTTCGTATGTTTTATACCAGTAATTAAACTGGAAAAAAATCACATCAAACATTTTCAATATATCCTTAACCAATGGTCTAAATAAACATATGTTTGAACAGTATAAAATATAGAAAAAAATTACAAGGAATATCATAGAGACGTTAAATGCGCTGCAAACGACATTGACTTTCGACAACCCTCACTGCATGCACCGGTCAGGCAGGATGCACTTGATATCAAGATATAATTTGACGTTGTAAAGCAATGGTAATTCTTGATATCAAGAATTCGATTTCGTGATATCAAGAATTGAATTCTTGATATCAAGAAATATGTTTAAATGATAAAACGGCTTGCCATACGTCCGCCTCACAACCGGGAGGTCGTGGGTTCGAACCCCGGCCGCGTCATACCAAAAGACGTTAAAAGATGGGAGTTGTTGCTACCTTGTTTTGGCGTTCAACAATAAGGGATAGAGCAACGTCGATCTGGCGCTGCTCAGTGGCTGCCGGACTCACGATCAATTGGGCAAAAAGAATTTCCGTTTCGGTTTAATAAAATTTGAAGTGGACTATTAAAGCTATCATTATTATTATTATTATTATTATTATTATTAATTGTACCCATGGCTACGCTCCATTACGTTTGTGCAATGCTATTGACATGGTAATTGATCGGCATCCAATAAATATGAGATTGGCTAACTCAATGAGTGTTGTCCTTCCCAAGCCTAATATTGAAATTTAAGAATAGTCTAGGTTACGCAGGCGGCAAAGTATGGAATAACTTACCCTCTAGTTTACAAAAAGAACAATCTATCTACTGTTTTAAAAACATGTATAGGAAAACCTATTTCTGAAAATTATGAATATTCCTGTTTTTCTGCTCTTTCTGCTTCAGTTTGTACTCCATGATATAAGGTTATTTTGTAGTGTGACAGAATTTGATTTTAAATAATTAGCTGACTATTTGATTCCATTATTGTTTTGTTTTATATATTTATTTGAATATCATGTAATTTTTACTTCGTTTTTACTCAAGATTGTGGTCGCTAAATATTGTTATCATGACTTCATGAGTATTTTAACAATTTTTATTATATATGTATGATTAATTTATTTTTATGTTTTAGTGTAAGCTTTCAATATTTAGGACCAGGATGTAAACCGGTCCTTTCTGATCTTGTTGTCCTTATGAAATATGTTCAAATGAATAAAGATAAAACAATTAATAAGTAATTGAGCTTCTGGTAAAATGTGCCGAAGTGAGAATTGCACGGACGGCAGAAATATTTGTTGACTGCGCGCATTTAAAATAGCTCTCGTTCCTTATATAAATCTATCTTTAGTGGTATATATGCTGTACATCTATTTTTTTCTTTATCCATAGTATGGTTATGAAATTAAGCACTGTATACATTGTGGAATATTTCTCGATAAATGCTACTATGACTATTATTGCTGTCAGTGTTATTTTTTAATACAATTATCATTATTATTTTTATGTTTAAAATTAGTATTATTAATATCCTGATTACTATTTTCATCATAATTATTATTATGATAATAAGGAAAATACATTATCATCATTATTACTGTTATTATTATTATGGACCACAGGTACTCCCTTTGAAAGATATTCAAAGCCAAATGAAACACAGCATTTTACTAACAGTGACTTCACGCGAGGAGGATACAGATTTCCCAGTTACTATCACGATTTCACAGGCTGGAAAGGTCGGGGTTTCAATATCTGTTGCTTTCGTCATCAGATTTTCAGGTATGTATAACATTTATTTTATATGGGAATTGTGATATGATGTAATGAAGACCAATTATAACTTACTAATGCTGTATGAATCCAAAGCATTATCTAAAGTTTATCTAAAGACTTTCAAATACTCAAACCATTTGTGGTAGGGTCCATGCTCCAACTAAATTAATTTCGATGGCGTTGTGCGTCACCTATTGAAATAAGAAATAACATCAGCGTAACTTATATATGCATTATTACATAGCCATGTTAATATCATAGGTTAAGCAGTATCATAGTCACATTATGGTTGTGTACATTTGGAGGGTTCGCTGCTATATATCTGACCTCCGTGTACATTTTTAAATATTGCCACTATTAAGTAAACACTCGTCTAAAATACATAATCGCCTACATACCGGAATATTTTGCAGGATTCTTTAAATACCTCTGCCAAATGAAAGCTTAGAAAATGATAAGGACACTTATTTAGACAGTACACATAAAAACACCGATTGCTATCATTTCCTAATTTCTTTTCGATCGCAGATGAATTGAAGAATGAACCTTTTTTAGAACCCGCCTCTTTCGCTCGGTAAGCTTGCATTTGGAACAATTTGTTTACTTAAGCTTATCTGAACTAGTTTACTGGAGGGATTAGACCTCCCTGCAAGGTCACTGGACAGGTGGTTATCTCATCAGCTCAGCTCTCAGTTAACATAAGAAAAAGAGGATTATGGGGGACCAATGGTCACCGATTAGGCATTTTTTGTTATATAGAGGGCGCAAGTAGCTACAAGTAGTGCAGTGGGCCTTTAATACTTAGTAATGTTTATTTTCGCAAATGAAAAAAAAATTCATATTGATTTGTTATCAATGGTAGTATTGGAGGTGGGGTGTGACTGGGATCGGTGTAGGAAGGGTGATTTCTGTCTGAAATTCAAAACGAATTTCTTCACAATTAACCATCCCATTCTCACTTATCCACTGAGCGAGTTTTATACAGCAGCTGACATGAATTTTCGGGAAAAGAACTGTGTCACTCCAGGCGGGAGGGGGGGGGGTTAATTATTGTTATTATTATTATTAAAGCTATTTTACTGCAATACCTCTATCTTGCTTTTCAGGGTAGTTGATGAAGTCTCTAGGAGTGACCTCAAGGATATTGATGTCCACACCATTGCTGAAAAGATGACGGTGGATCAGTTCTATGATCTGGGGGTAGCTCTCGGTTTCCGAATTCCGCAGTTGGATGTCATAGAATACAGAAGATTCAGAGACAGACAGCAGGCCAGCTATGACATGTTGGTAACATGGCGACAGGCACAAGCCTCTGGTCAACAAGCAAAGGATACTTTACTTTCACTCATGAAATCTTTAGACTCACCTGCTGAAGAGATTGATATGACAGGTTTGCCGTTGATCGGATTATCTGCCTTTCTTTCAACTTTATTTTGTAACCTAATTAACGGTATTGACTTTAGTGTCGATAGGATTAAGAAGATTAAAAGTGTTACTATTTATATACAAGTAAAGGAATAACGGGGAATATAATTACATGAATATATTCCGAAAGAGTACACCAAACCGAAGCAAATATCTACCAGAAGGTAATCAACCAGACAAAAAAACAATGAAACAAATATAAAGGCACTATTATTCTTCTAATTTTTTGAATGCGTGATGATCTCTTTAAATATTTCGTTTAGATTGTTTCACATCATCTCATAGTCTTGTGGCGCAAACAAAATATTATGTATAGTTGCAGCAGAAAAAGGTATAGAACGTCAAGATATTGCAGATTGTGTCAAGTTGTTTCCAATCACAATTTGTTAAAATAATTACGATATGCAATATATATGTTTGTACTCATTCAAAAAGTATAAAGTTGCTTTAATTATCGCTTTAAATCATATCAAACACTTAATAACTCACGATGGAGTAGATCATAAAAGAAAGAGAAAGAGAGGGAAAGAGCAATTTCAAACCAGCCTTTTTATCAGCTATCAAGTTAAAATAGTCTTATCGTTATTTCCTTATATACATGTAATGTCGTCTCCTTTCACTTGATGTACGTGCATCAGACATTGGTTCTGCTGGGTAAGTCAATAACTCGTATGCTACTGTCTCCTATTTTTTTAATATTGGTATCCAAGTAAATGATAAAATTCAATCACTTTAAATTAAATGCATGTAGAGTTGGTTTACACTTTTCCATATAGCTCCGTTTAGTCTCATTTCACAACGCCCCCTATCGTCAGAGTCAGCAGCCATACATGTTAGCCTATGGACGTTTTTTTTTTTTTAATCGTTAAAAAAAAAAAAAAAAAAAAAAAAAAAAAAAAAATCATTTTTTGTTTAAACGAAAAGCACATCCACCCCGACGTACGTTATCACTAGCTCTTTCATTGGAGCCCTCATGTCTCATTGACTTTTGAAAGTTCACCCACCGTAATTTTTCAAAATAGGTTGCAAGCTCGCCATTGCCTATAATACACATGTGAACAAGTCGAACTTTGGACTCAGTCTGCCAAGTGATTGTAAGATTTTAGGTCAAGCACACGAAGGATAAGAAGCATGAATTATCAATTATCACTTCTGCTATATTCATTATGTCCATTTCATCCAATCCCCCACCGTAAATTTTCCATTTAGTAAAAGCAAACATTTTGCCGAGTTTAGCAAAAACATGAATATTCATGAACGGTCAGACAATACAGCCTTTTAGTACGTAACGTATAGTGAATGGGAATGGGCGATGATCAGGTCAGTGTTTTGTGCTGGCAATGTTCACGCGAGCGAAAATAAGACAATCGGAGCAATATGTATGTTTTGAGGAGAAATTTCAATTATTTAAACATATTTGTGATTTACACCGAGTAAATAAGATCGATTGATCGAACTGTATTGAAAAACAAGTCAGAAAAAATCTTGGAACCAGCGGGACTTGAATCGGTAAGCAGTAGATGCAGGTTCAAGTCCCGCTGGTTCCAAGATTTTTTCAGACTTGTTTTTCAATACAAATCGATTAATCGATCTAATTTACTTGGTGTAAGCCACAAATATGTTTAAATAATTATTCTATGTATTCCTCAAATGAATATGGTGAGTTTACCGCAAGATTGCATAAACTAGAAAATTACAATCCTTAGAAATGACACTGAATAAAAAGAAGAAGAAAAATAAGAAGGAAAGGAAGATAAGGGGGAGAAGAAAGACAAATAAACTGAATACATGTATATACATGTGTACGTACACACACACATTGGTATATGATATACACCAATTTCTTCTTCATGTTTCAAATTGTGTTTGTTTCCTCGAACAGTGAAGTCCAGGACAAGACACTTCTTGCATTCTCCCGGAAGATCAAAGCAGAACAATACTTCGAGATTGGCGGAAAGCTGGGTCTCAATAAGACAGAGCTTGAACACATACAACACCGGACACTGTCTAACAGGAAAGATGCTAACATCCAAATGCTTTCCAAATGGAAAGCATCTCAAACATCAGGGAATAAAGCAATTCAGACGTTAAAATTGGTTTGGGAGTCTGTCCAAGCAGTACCAAAGGCGGAGAACCAAGAAGGTATGGATAATACCTTTGCCTATTATGCAAAAAGACTCTTACATTGTTTATTGTATTTACACAGAACTTGGTGGAGGAAAATATTTACGCGATAGTATGAATCATGCAAGGTATTATATGTAGAATAACACGATGTCCGCATAGTACAACTTCGAATGCAGGATATAAGGTCACATGTACGATCTTTTATTGCACTACTGTCAGAACGAAAATAACATGTAGAATGAATGCAAAACATGTACTCTACTTTCTCTTGAGAATGGGGAGGTCACTTTTTAAGCACCATTTATTAGGAGAATATATTTCTACAGATGTGCAGAAATAACTAAGATGTTCACATATTCCAATTCGTTTTAAGAGGTTAAGACTTTAAAATTCCTTTACATGGATATCAATAATGATTTTAATGCAACGTCTTTTAAACTATATTTATACGATTTTTTAATGGCATGTTTTCTTTCAGACGAAGGTAGTTCTCGTGATATAGAACAAACTCCTGTACAAAAGACAGCACCAAGTGAACTTACTTTTGAGCCTGAAGATATGGAAATCATTAGAACTTCAAATGTTGGTAAGTAGACGCACAAAAAGGAGGTTCGTGGTTATGTCATCGTAAATGTCTTTGGCTTACATGTACTATTAATGTCATCATTACAGTGATTTGGGGAATGTGTAAACATATAGCAGTTGATAATCTTCCTTTAACAATTAGTGCAATACGGAACCGGTACGGACATCCGATTTTATGTTTCAAACCAAACTCAGGCTATAGAAAGTAAACAAAAGCACCTATATAAACAAACAGAAAAGTTTTAGTAAATAAAGTGTTCTGAAATGATTTTATTATGAATTAACGAATCAAATTTCATCTAAGACGCTATAGAAAGTAAACAAAGGCACATATATAAACAAACAGAAAAGTTTTAGTAAATAAAGTGTTCTGAACTTATTCTATTATGAATTAACGAATCAAATTTCATCTAAGATGCTGTTACGGAAAAACATGCGGAGTCTCTTCAGGACCTCGACCGACATGGTGGAGTACCAGCCACAGAAGAACTTTCCCTCGTCGCTTTTCGAGTGAAAAGTCTGCCATTAGCATGTTCATTTGGGAAAGCCCTTCATCTAAATGACGACCTCATTGTTGGATTCATCGATCTACCCAGTTCGTCAGTACTCCATAAGATCGCACGACAGCTCGTAGACAGATGGTGTAATTGTTTAAAACTGGAAGAAAGAGAAGAGCAATTCGCTAAGCTCCTCTCGGAGTACAAAAGCCCAGATTTCAAAACAGGTTTGTTGAAATCACAAGGCTGAGTTTAATCGTAACCATGTTGATAAAAAATATAATTTTTTTTTTGTGTTGCCTTCTTTAGCTAAAAATACAAATTTGAGGGAGGGTTCCCCCCCCCCCCCCCTGCCTACACGCCTGGGATGTACAGAAGTGCGGACCGTTTTTTAGTAGCAAAAGATTTTACTTGTCCTTACATCCAGCTTATTTTATTTTTTAAAAGTTTATTTCGCTTTTTTACATGCCGACACTGTCTTCACTCATCATCATCATCATGCCTAGGTCACATTTGCTATACGACTAGGATATGGTGGCCTTTTGCGGACCCAAAACAAATTACGGTGGCCGCAGGAATTCCATCAGCGCCCCAGGTCAGCCTTAAGGCGGCCCTACGGCGCCCTAACCGTGGCCTTGCGGGCGCCTTGGTATGTGTCAAAAACCTGCGGCCGTCGCAGGGACGCCTTTAGGCGGCCGTGCGTCATCAGTTCAAAGGCCGTACGGCAACCGCAGGTTTTCTCTCTTCACGTGCGGCTACCCTAACATTTGTGACCTTTACCTATGTGACCGTGGGAATGCTGCGGCGTCACTATAATTGCTATTGGCCGTTAATATTTTAGACCGCATGGCCGCCGCGGCAAATGTGACCTAGGCATCATTATGATATTTGCACTAACCTAGATATTTTACTTCCTTCCTATTGATATATACATTTTTCATTGTCTACAGGCCGTGAAGAAATCTCAAAAGCCATGGAATCCAAGACAGACCTACTAGAATTGTGTCATCGCCTGAATGTTAATTCTTCTGGCTTCTTGCAGATCATGTGCACATCTTTGACCTTTCCTTCACACATCATTAACCGTATAGCTGTGAAGATGCTTAACGAATGGGTACACCAAGGTGGGACTAGGGAGAGGCTTCTGGAAGTTGCCCAGGCTTTCCGTTTTCACGATGCAGCAGTCAAGATAACAGAAGGTAATGTTCATTTCACAACTCCACTGTGTTTCACAATACATTAAATTGTGTGGGCCTACTTGATCAGTGGAGAATTTTTTTTGACGGATCCATTATGTTTACTTAATATTGCCAGACTATGAAAGAAACCAACATTCCCCCATTAAAGAAAAATCACAAATTCGACAGGAGCCTGTGCACTTTTAACTTCATTTTAAGGAAGGGTAGTCGCGGGTCGTGTTGCTAGATGAAGAAATACGCAATGAAAGGAAATAATCCAATTACCATTAATCATTCAGACCTACGAATCACGGTATATCAACAAATTAACTTGTTTAAATTTTGTATGATCATCTCAAAGATTTTGCCAATGATTTCTATTTTTTCACGACAGTGACCATACCTATTAAACTAAAGACAGTAGACTTCTACGATTCGCCAGTATAATAACAGTTAATTTGCTCATGTTTATATCTATTGTAATGATTTATCATTGAAATGTCTCGATTCCTGTACATTCTTGTAATGATTTTGTATATCGTACCAGTATGTTTTAATGATTTTGAATTGCTTTTTATTTTTAAATTTGAATAATTATTTTAAATATTACTAAATGTTCATACACCTGCTCTTGCCGCTTTCATTGATTATTTTACCACTATACCCACAACTGCAATATTGTAACATGACGAACTGTTGTATAATTTGTCTTAGTCCTTATTATGTTGGCATGTTATTATGTTTATACCTTTTTTCTTTGGTAGAAATTATGTTCATTAAGTGTTTTTTAATATTTTATGATTTTACAGTAGTAACGTGACACGTTTAAATAATTTTTAACTAAATTTTATGTAAGTTTTTTACAAATATATCCAATTCGTGTAACTCATGTGCAATTCAGTTGTGAAACCGCCATTCATGAAAGATGCAATAAAATACCATTTATCTATCTATCTATCTATCTAAACGCATATATTCAGAAAAGCGGGATAGTTCGTACTGGAATCAAATCTTGACTCAATATAATTGTAACATTTTATTCAACCCCCCCCCCCTCCCCATCCCCCTACGAACACATCTTATTACACGCCTGTTTACCAATTGTTTTCTAGTAAAATTACTCAAAAAGCGCTGCTTTGAATATAACATGGAAGAAAGATTGTTACAAATGAATATTTTTCACATCACTGTATTTTGTTCATGTTTCTTATGGGGATCGTCGATGACGTGCTTACTTATCTTATCTTCTTTAGCCATGGAATACCAACCAAGCTATATTCCTTTCATCTCACATGGCAGCATTGATCACAAGGGTGGACAACTGACCCTCGGTGAACTTGGCATTACCGTCTCTATCCCTGAAGGAGCTATACCAAAAAGTATGAGATCAGTTGTAACCCTTCGAGTCCAAACTCATGATACTCATAGGTTCCCTGTACGGGAGGGTGAGGTAGTCATTTCTCCAGCCGTAGAGTGTTCTCTCACTCAAGAACTGATCAAGCCTGCGACGGTGGTATTACCGCACTGCATCAATCACCATGAACGTAAAGATGACTCTTCTGTTATCTTGTACACAAAAACAGGACCAGGTACAAATTTATCAACACATATTGTTTCTGTTCTCTTGAAATATAATAGAAACGTCATAATTTTAAATAGAAATCCGAATAATTTGGCAAATGGGGTGGATGACTGATTTCAAATCACAGATATCATAGTCTTCTTTTCATAAAAGTTCATTTTGAGAATAAGCTGATATAAGTTGATATTTAACGAGTTATCAATAATAAAGAGAATCTACCCGGTGAATAAAAAAATAACCTAGTCAAACACCACAACATGAACTGAGTCGAAATCAATTCCTATCCCAGGGGCGGATCCAGCCGGCGGCAGGGGAGGGGCCCAATTCGTGAGAAAATATTTAGCGGCGAAACAGTTGGCCGATATTTCGCTCAGTGTAGGGGGGGGGGGGGGGTAGTGAGCACTAATGTTTTGATTTGTTCTCGAAATTTGAAAAATTGCACCCCCCCCCCCCCTTGAGCGCCAGGGGGTGGGGGGCATCTCCAGGAGGGGGGCCAGGCGCCCTGGATCCGTCACTGTCCTACCCTACTAATAATCAATATGGTTTTCATGTTTGAATCTTTCTTTTCTTTATTCAAAGAAACTTTCGGTCGTAGCAACCTGACTCCGCGCATATCACAAATCTCAAAAAATGAGATCAAGTTTCCTACACGTCATCTTCAGGCCTGGGCTCTGTCATCAAACGATCTTCAAGGACTCCAGTTGAAATGTGTAGTCTTCCAGCCTCTCGTCATGACTCATGCAGAGAAACCAACTCTACGTGTGTACATAGTTCATCCTTATATAAACTATGTAGAGGTATTTATATAATTCTTTCCATATTATTGATTGACGAAACACAAAGAAATTGTTCAAGAAATGTTTAGGTTATAACTATTCATGAGGAGTAAGAACCAGTCGCAAGGGACAGAGAAGGATAAATATGAATGGCTGACGGAAGAATGACGCGAAAGGGGGAAGGCTGCCCACACTGTGAAAAGGTTGGGCAATATTTTTCCAACACTTTGCCCAACGTTGTGCCTATAGTCAACGCAACCATCTACTGGGCAATAATTTGCCCAGTGGTATACGTAAGGAATCTTACTTCAAACGTGCATAATTGTTTCGTATTTTGACCAAAATTTGGGCAAAGATATGACCTTTCAACTGCCCAACTACAGTAGCCCACTTGTTGGGAAAATCTTGACCAGCTGTTGGGCAAAATACGAAACAATTATGCACGTGCGAAGTAGGGTGCTTACGTTTAGCAATACCACTGGTCAAAATATTGCAAAGTAGGTGGTTTGGTTCACTATTGGCACAGCATTGGGTAAAGTGTTGGAAAATATTGCCCAACCTTTTCACAGTGCTGGATAGTTGAGGGGAGATGATGGAAAAAAGGCTGAGGAAGGGATGGGAGAGTTGAAATAGAGAAAGGAGATGTGGAACTATGATAGAAGGAAGGGATATAGGAATGGTAGGGAGATGTGTATAATGGCAAGAAGATCGAGGGCGGGGTTGGTCGAGGAGATTTGCCCTGCCATAGGTCTTCTTTCGAAATTGCACTATACAAGTTTATAGTGATTTACAATAATATTGTTTCGATAGAGATAAGTGTCATTTGCATAACCCCAGCGTCGCATATATTCAAGAAATGATTATATTCCCATTCTGTCTGCTTAAATCGATCAAATCAACTATTCATAACAAAAACATATAAATTAACAAACATCATTCGAAATTCTCGTAAAATGTACTATTCCGACAAACTTTATAGAGTGAAATCAAATATGAAATCTACATGGGGGATTATTAATGATTTGATTGGAGAAAAAAATAAAAAAATGCCCAGTGATATTTTTTTCAAAAATGGTGCAAGTATGCACCTTTAGGAGTGCAAACCGATGCAACACTGGCAGCACCTTTAGGGGTTAAATCCTGCACCCTTTTTAAAGGTGCAATCCTGCACCCTTTATAAGGGTGCCAGATTGAACATTTTAGGGGACATGTTAGTACCATTTATGGTTCAATCCTGCATCTTTAGGGTTACAAACCGATGCAACACTGGCAGCACCTTTATGGGATCAATCCTGCACCCTTTAAGAGGGTGACAGATTGCACCTTTCAGGAGACATGTTAGTCCCCTTAAGGGTTCAATCCTGCTCCTTTAGGGGTGCAAACCGATGCAATAGCAGCACCTTTAGGGGTTCAATCCTGCACCCTTTAAAAGGTGCAATCCTGCACCCCGAGGAATACTCGTGAAATTTGCTCGTACACAAATACATATTAAACATTCATGTTGTTTCTTGGTTAGTAATAGGGTGATCACACACTGTTAGAACAAGTATTACAATTTTTAATCAAGTTGGTTAAAATTTTAATCAACCACGGATTACCAGGTGAATCACACAATCGTTGGTTAAACTTTAACCAACAGCCTGTTGATTAAAATTTAACCTGTGGTTGATTAAAATTTAACCTGTGGTTGATTAAAAATTTTAATCAATTATTGGTTAAAAAAATTTGCTCAATGTTGGTTAAAATGGTGTTGATTAAACTTTAACCATTTGTTGATTAAAAATTTAATCTTTTGTTGGTTATTTATGCTTTGTTCGGGGCTGATTCACATTATGTTGGTTAAACTTACATGGGCCGTTGGTTAAAATTGTAACCATTGGCATTGTAGGTTAATTCTTTTTTGATTCACACGATGTTGGTTAAACTTGGTTACAGTTATAACCACTGTTGGTTAAACTTACGGGGGTTTGGAGGTCTTATCCTCGTGTTTGCAGGTAAGAAATTGTTTAATATGATTATCATCAATGCTAAGATTGTAAGGAAGAAGTGAAATAAGGTTCTTGCTCAAATTAAAAACGCTTTTTGTCCCGGCCCGTAGGTTGTAGCTCAGCTCAGCCAGTAAATGTAACGGATGACCTACCCAAATTGCATGCATAAAGACGTTTCACTTTATGATGACATCTTATTTTATATTTAATTGTTTTAAACAATTAGATACAATTAGATTTAAAAAATAAGATTATTATTCATGCATGCAATTTGGGTAGGTGATCCGTAATAGTCCTACACTTCTCCTTTTGTAATTTGGTCTGCCTCCTTCACGGTTGAAGATTCTTGCAGACTGATGAGTGTGTGTGTACTGTGCTTACGAGAGAGCCAGGTGCACGGTGCAAGTGAATAAAGTCTCACCTCCCTGCTTATTGGTTGAGCTACGTACAGCCTAGGGGACACAAATCGTTTTTGATTTGAGCAAGAACCTTATTTCACTTCTTCCTTACAATCTTAGAATTGATGATGATAATATTAAAATAATTTCTTACCTGAAAACACGGAGATAAGACCGTCCAAACCCCCATTTCTCAGGTCCTCGCGACAACCTCCATTGTTAATTTTGTCGCACGCGTAAACTGCATGTACTTTGCATGTACTTTATTTGTATGTCGAGCGATCGCTAGCTACGCGCTTCGATATCGTTCCGTTGGGTCACGTGACCAGTACTTTAATCAACATTGATTAAACTTTAACCAGAAGGGGGCTATCATTACTGTCGGAATTTTGTTTTTAATCCATGCTGGGTTACAATAATTTGCCAACGACTTAGACTTAACCAACATAGGTTAAAAGGAATAATTTTGATCAACACTGTTTTTAACCAACGCAAGATTAAAAGTAAATTTTAATCAACACTACTTTTTTAACCAAGGTTGAGCGTTTTTTAATCAACAATTTTTTAACCCGCAGTTTTTTAATACTTGTTTTAACAGTGCCCGCGAACACACACACACAACAGCAGTCAGTTGGTAGAAATAGCAATTTTTGTAAATTTATTTTTAAAAAACTAAACAATATTTTTAATTTTTTATTTCACATTTATTTCAAGCATACCTTTAATTACAATTCTGTGTAGTTTCATTGTTATAGGCATGGGGGAAATATGTTAAATGATTTAATTAGAATAATTGTCTTTTCAGTCATTGTGTGACATGGCCCGCTGATCGCCCATTGACTCAAGCTGCTATTCTGCGTGGTGAAAATGCACCTCAATGTATAAAGCTCCCCTACAAAAAATGCAATATCCTCATTTGTTTCACTCATTAAATCAATTTATTGTTTACACTCAAGGTAGCCACAACTGTACTTGGGTCACTAAACTTTTTTCACTCTGAAATTCAGTCCCTGTGGAATGTTATGACGTGTTGAATGGCTTCTCGAAAAATCGTCATAAATCCTTAAATCTGACATTTTTTAAAAAGAAAAATATACTGTGATGTAGCTGAAAGTCTGCAAATTTTTATCATTTGATCGGTTTTTCTGAATAATTTGTGAAATACATGAGGAAATAGCTGTGACGGTGATCCAATTAATTTCCATCGCCATATTTTATTGGCATTGCAAAAATATTTGGAATTTAATGTTAATATTTGGTGTAAATATGATCTGTAAATATATGATTTAAAAAATGCCAACAAAATGAACAGTTTGACTTTCCTAATTAGCTAAAATGACCTAATTTGCATATTTGATGAATATTCATGATTTTTTTTTCTTCAAATAAAATATATTTCCATTCCTGTCTGATATACATAGGTTTCACTGATGTATCATGTTCGGTTTTGATTTGATTACATATGCGCATATTAATTAGGCGGACTTAGTTATTTTCACCACTTTTTCATATCTGCCGATTCGCAAAAATGGCAAAAATGACTTATTTTGTTGGCTTCTGTTTTCAAAACGGTAATAGATATATGAATTTTCTTTTTTGTATTTTTTACCACAAAGATGATATTTTAGTGTCTGATAATTTATTTATTATTTGTGTCCGAGAAAGTGATTGAATGAAGTTGTCAACTTTGCCGAATTTTGCTTTTTTTTGCCAATTTGACCATTTCTGGCAGGTTTGTCGGTAATTTTGCGATTTCAAAAAAATGGTATAAAATCACAACGCATTGACCGATTTCAATTCTGTTTTTTTTTTTTTGAAGCTTTCATGAAGCTTGATCATTTGCAATCATCAAATAACATGTGTTTGTTGTACTTATTTTTGGTGCGCTTACTGTTTTGGAATTCGTGGAGTTTCACTGTCATGGTTTGACAGCTATTTATGTAACAAAAAACAATATGTAAAGTATAATAATATTTTGTCTCGTTCCCTGCCTACCAAATGTAGAGTTCCTCAAGGATCAATTTTGGGCCCTTTGCCTTTTCTATTATATATTAATGATTTAACCAATACAACACCTTTATTATCATTTGTCCTATTTGCTGATGACACGAATATTTACTGTTCATATCCTAATTTAAACACTTTAGTAAATACACTTAATAATGAGTTACCCAAATTATCTCTATGGTATCAATGCAATAAGTTATCCCTTAACTCAAATGGAACAAATTTCATGGATTTAAAGCACGCACATTCTCATGTCATTGACTTTCCTTACAAACATAATTATAGATAATGTCCCTCTCGAAAGAAAGAAAACAACAAAATTTGTGGGTGTTATTATCGATGAAAATCTAAACTGGAATGAACATATACGTCATATCGCTACTTCTATTTCTTGGAACGTTGGTTTATTATATAAAATGAAGAAATTAATCCCATGTTATACGCTCGTTATGCTTTATAATTCATTGATCTTACTGTATACAACATATTGCAATTTAGTGTGGGCCACCAACGCCGAAACCAAAATCAACTCTATTTATTTATTGCAAAAGAAAGCCCTTCATAATGTACTGGTTCACTATATTTATCACACACAAGTCCAATATTTTACAAACTGAAAACCCTAACAGTATTCGACATAAATTCGCTACCAAGTTGACTGATCATGTTTAAGTATTTAAATAATATGCTTCCTCTTTCAATACAAAACTTTTACACTATGAACAAAACTATTCACTCTTACCCTACCCGTAATTCTTCAAATTTTCATCTAGTAAAGCCGAAACTACTTATTGCCCATAGATCCATAATATCTATGCCAAATAAGTTACTCCATGATACAGTAAAACAAAAAAGAAACAGGGCGCTAACCTTATAAAAATAAGTACGCTTGGTGACGTCATCCACGTTAGTGTGTACTGTGTGATTGTAAGTAACGTGGTACAGTATATTACTGTGATGTGGGGTAGAAAGCAAGGATCAGGGCATGGCCAGTCATGTTTGTCTTGCTGCTCTGGGCTTGGCCTTTCTCAAAGTATGGATGTAGCACGTTTTGGAACGACATCCCTCTTAATAGTATACTTACACTTGATATCTTACCTATAGAATGAATTTACGGTAAACTTAAGCGCATATTGTTAGTGCTTTTAGCCACTTATTTGGATATTAGAAGACTAATCCATGAATGTGAAACAAGCATGCAGCATCCGTTCGAAATATACTCCCCATTAATATAAATAATTTTGTCATTGTTTATTAAATACTTTTTTTCCTACGGTTTAAATAACTTTTTACGTTTTCAGAAATCTGAACGAGCTTTAGATATCTGTACAAAAATAGGGTTATTTATATGGCTTTTGAATAAGCCTACAATAGTTGTCGTTTGATAATTTCTATGAAATTATATAATTATTTTGCAGTTGTAAGAATTGAGTTTCATTCGTCATATTTCCAGGATATAACGAATAAGGAAAAGAGTTCGCCTGTACCCTACTGCCAAGTCATGAAGGAATTCAGATTCTCTATAGAGCTGAGAGCAAGGGACTTAAAGATTTTGTTTGTTGACGGGACAAAAAGAAACAAAAGAGCGGTAAATATGCCTGAATGAATGTTATTCCATAAGGTCTGTTGAAGAATAGTGGTCGATGTGGAGTTTTGAGATCCACCAATCGTTAAGAATTTACCTCCTCGGATGTACGAGGTCTATTCGCTATTCATAAGGACCGCTATTCATAAGGACAGCTATTCATAATAATGACCGCTATTCATAACGTGGAACTTCCCGTACCTGCGGGTCCGCCGTTCGTAATGTGAGATGAAGGTCGCTATTCATAATTCATATTCAGGGTCATTAATCATAAGGACTGCTATTCATAATACGAAATCGGGGTCGCTATTCATAAAACGAGAAGAGGGTCGCTATTCATAAATTACATTGGGGGTCACTACTCATAAGGACCGCTATTGATTATAAGAAATGAGGGTCGCTATTCATAATAGAAGCAGAGGGTCGGTATTTATAATACAATGAGAGGTTCGCTATTCATAATATGAGACGAGGGTCGCTATTCATAATAAGAAATGAGGGTCGCTAATCATAATACGAAATGAATGTCGCTATTCATAAAACAAGAACAGGGTCGCTGTTCATGATACAAGATGAGGGTCGCTATTCATAATACGAAATGAGGGTCGCTTTTCATAATACCAAAAGAGGGTCGCTATTCACAAAACAAGAGGAGGGTCGCTATTCATGATTCGAAATGAGTGTCGATATTCATAATAAGAAATGAGGGTCGCTTTTCGTAATATTAAATGAGGGTCCCTTTTCAAAATACAAAATAAGGGTCGCTATTCATAAAACGGGAAGGGGGTTGCTATTCATAATACGAAATGAGGGTCGCTATTCTTAATAGGAGTAGTGGTCGCTAATCATAATACGAAACGAGGGTCGCTATTCATAAAACAAGAAGAGGGTCGCTGTTCATGATACGAAATGAGTGTCGCTATTCGTAATTCGAAATGAGGGTTGCTTTTAATAATATGAAATGAGGGTCGCTTTTCATAATATAGAGTTAGGGTCGCTATTCATAATACCGAATAAGGGTTGTTATTCATAAAATAAAATAGGCCTAAGCAATAAACAAAATGCTTATAACAAAGGGAGATATTGGACAGAGGACACCCCAAGGCAATTACGTAGCTGTGGGGCGGAGTGACACATGGCCCTGAATATTTTTTTTTTTTTAAGTAGGTATATTTCTCCTTTTAACTTTGATAATTATATAGAGACATCTCATGCTCCTGTGGTGACGGGAAAAAGGAAAACATAAACATATATAATCCTATCGTAATTTGACTTCCTTGTGGGAAATCTTGCCCCACCTCCCTGCCCCGACTGATCTTATACAGCCTATGCCTCTGAGACATTAAGTGACCAAACAGGCCCATTATCATATATAGTTATTTGATATGATTTGATTTGATTTGATTTATTGGTTTCTGCATCTTTTTTCTTTTTTTCATCATACATTTTCATAAACATAATATGGTTTGATACAATATTTTAACTATATATAATTTTATACAGATAATAAACTAAATTAAACAAATATATTTAATGCATAATTAACATACATTATATGCAGGATTGCTACATAAATAAGCAAAGTAGCTTGACGTGCCCGCAGCCCTCAACTTAGATGCAACAATACAAATATGAATAAAAAAGAGTGTGACTTGCAGAGAAGAAAAGTAGCGTTGGTAATAATACAATAAATTTCATACATCTGCTGATTAAATGCAGGTTCATTCATGAATGGATAAACGATGCTAGGTCATGGACGATTACACATCATTGTCGAATATACAGTCAATGTACACACGAACATGAATACAGTAAAATTACACACGAACGAATGAGTTTGCTTATTTCAGAAAGTAGTAATTGTTTATACGACAATATTGTTTTTGTAGAAAGTAGCTTTTAGTAGGACTCAGGGGCGTAAATCCGTACCGAGGAGTGGGGGGGGGGGGGGGAATGATCGGCGATAGCCAACACATACTAGCACGAGCACACGCCCACACTAATTTACGCAAGCGCGCGATCGCGCACGCAAAAATACGCAACACACACACACACACACACACACACACACCCACACACACACACACCACACACACACACACACACACACACACACGCACAGGGAAATGCCAATTAAACATTCAGTGATCTTGATAACAATCAATGCTTAATCAGAAAAGGGGAAATTATGAAACAATTGTTGCCGTGTGTGTTGTGTGTGTGCGTGTTTTTTGTCTGTTTGGCTGTCTTTGTTCAAAACACTATTTTATTCCTCACCCAGGCAGTCTAGTAAAGATTGTCTGATGTTCAGTCATGCATGCAGATATTCAAATGAAAACGGTACCTAAATGTACAGGGAGGATAACTCTATCAAGACATATCATGAAACCAATGATTAAATGTTCATGCTTCAAACAAAACAACTTTTAAAAAGTGGCACATTTTTTCTGACTCACTCTGTATATTTTGATTTTTTTTCCAATGTTATAAACAAAATTGAGAATTTAAAACAATAACATTTGAATTATGAAATATCCCCAGCCCCCCCCCCCCCCCACACACACACACACACACACACACAACAGCCGTTTACGTCTATATGATGACGACGACTCGGACATTCAGGTAGCGGACATTAATGTTTATTTTCTGGGGGGGGGGCTGAGGTGGTTTCCTTATAAAATAGATCATCTTGTCACCAAAGTGAATTTTCTTAAGTTTGACTATCAGTTAAAGGGGGGGGGGGAGATTTCCTACAAGGGGGACAAATTACGATAGGATTATGTGTGTGTTATGTTTTCCCTTATTTTCACCACTGGAGCGGGGGAAATATATTAGCTAGATTATGGGGATGTATCTAAAGTATATAATTATCAAAGCTAAAAAGAAAAATACACTTTAAAAAACATGCCTTACGGTCAAAAAGTCGTATCTTATTTGACTTAAATCTTGAAAATTTATCGTGCAATATTGTATATTTACGAAAAGCTTGAATAAGGTATATAACTTAAGTCCTTACAAATCCCTTTATGTCGCTTCCTTCCTTTGTTGACGGTTAGGAACATGATAGATCAGGTCATTGAAGGCAACACTGCTATACAACCCCCCCCCCCCCCCCGTGAAACACACAGGCTACGCCGTCTATGAACTACTTGGACGAGAACTGTCGGTAATATGTATTTGTACCATGGGAATGCTGTGGGGAGGGTGGGCCGAATGGTCGGACTAATTAGGGGGGGGGGAGTCTCGGGCCCTGGATGATGGGTCACGTTCATTATCGGGGCACGCTTTTTTCTTTTTTTTGTTCAGAAATATTCTCAATATATTTTCAACAAAAGTTTTCTACAAATATTTGGGGCCATGTGGCGCACCCCCCCCCCCGCCTACGCCACAGCCGTGAGTGTCACCTATCCATTATTTTCCTTTCTTATTATCGTTTTGTTTATTGCATATTTAATTTTGGATTTTTTTATGAATAGCGACCCTTATCCTGTGTTATGAATAGCGACCCTCATTTCGTATGAATAGCGATCCCAAATATGTATTATGAATAGCGACCCTCTACTCCTTATATTGATAGCGACCCTCATTTAGTAATATAAATAATGACCCTTATGAATAATGAACCCGTTATGAATAACATTTGAAGCGAATGACACGTTTTATGATTGAAATTTGTATTCTTCTATCGGTTCATACTTTTTCATTTTGTATATACTTATGTTTTTGTACGTAATAGAAATTCTACAAATTCATCATTATTTTCCTCTTCTTCCTCCTCCTCCTCCTTTTTTTCTTCTTCTCCTTTTTCTTTTTCTTTTTCATTTCTATCATCAGTTTAATTGGGTTATTATTATTATCTTGAACAATTTCTTTTTCTTTTTCTTATCTGTCTGTAAATATTACTATTTTAACCTTTTAATGTTGTACATGTCTGTAGGGGACCCAACTGGAAATAAGCTCTCGTGCTTTCGTGGGTTATCCTGTTCAAGCTGATTTAATTTTGATATGTTATTTTTTTGTATGTTGGAAGCTTGGCGAATAACAATCAATCAATCAATCAATCGACCCTCATTCTGCATTATGAATAGCGACCCTCATTTCGTTGCATGAATAGCGACCCTCTTGTCGTATTATGAATGGCGACCCTCATTTTGTGTTATGAATAGCGAACCTACTCCTCCTCTTATGAATAGCGACCATCTTCGCCTATTATGAATAGCGACCCTTTTCTTGTATTAAGTATAGGGACCCTTATGAATAACGATATCGATTTTGTATTATAAATGGCGACCCTCTTCTCATATTATGAATACCGACCCTCTTCTTTGATTATGAATAGCAGTCCTTACGAACAATGACCCTTATGAATAATGACCCTTTTCTCAAATTATGAAAAGCGGTCCTTATGAATAGCGGACCTTTCGTGATAGCGGTACTTATGAATAGCGACACTGACCCGGATGTACACTCTATATAAGCTGAATTTTAAATGTATTTTTCAAGAAAGGTGATATCTGGAAATGATCTCTTTAAAAAGAATTCAGCCGATCAGGTACCTCAAAGTTACATTTTTTGTTAAACAGTCACCAAATGATCAAATCTCTTCCTTATTTCAAATTGAGAGGATCTCATCAAATGAAATATATTCCCTCTCTCGGCCATTTCTCTCCCTCACACAAACGCATGCCGTCGTAATATTGCGATGTTAATTTTCATTATCAGTATTATATCATTATTATTATAATCATAGTATTATTATTAGTTTTGTTGCTGTTATTGCTCTGCCTATTATTATCATCATCATTGTTATTATAATTCCCATGAAATTCGAATCATTTAGATACCCATAAAGAGTACACTAAGTGGAAAGTGCATCCCTCTGAAGTTCGAGCTTCAGTTCTCTCCTGAAGAGAAAGGGAAGAAGAACGTCCATATCGACATACTACAAGGGTCAGCAACCCTTGCAGAAAGAGAGTATATCATTTCAATAGAAGGTAAGCCTAAATTATGAGGAGGTA